GTAGTTTGAAAACTAGTGCTGAGCGAGCCGAAGGCGAGTTCAGCACATACCTAGGCAAATAAAAATCTGATGAAGTAGGTTGGACCTCTACTCTGCCTAGGTTTGTGCCGAGCGTGCGGAAGTGAAAGGAGAGGTCCGACTTATCTCATCAGACTATTACTCTGTCTAGGTTTGTGCCGAACTCGCCTACGGCTCGCTCGGCACTGCTTTTAAAATTGTCATTTCTCAGGGAAGTTTAATAATGGCTTATTTTAATACCGAAAGAGACGAAGGTATGTAAAAGTGGTACCCTTAACCATTGCCGAGCGAGCCGCAGGAGAGTTCCGCACAAACCTAGGCAGAGTAAAAGTTCAATGGGGTAGGTTGAACCTCTACCCTGTCTAGGTTTCTGCAGAGCGTGCCGAAGTTAGAGTAAAGGTCCGACTTACACCATCAGATCTTTACTCTGCCTAGGTTTGTGCCGAACACGTCTTCGGCTTGATCGGTACTGGCTTTACAAGAGTCATTTCTCGGGGATGTTTAATAATGGCCTATTTTAATACCGGACGAGTCGATGGTATACCAAAGTGGTACCTTTATAACCAGCACCTAGCGAACCGAAGGCGAATTCGGCACAAACCTAGGCAGAGTAAAGGTCCGACCTACTACATCGGACCTCTGCCCTGGTATGTGCCGACAGTGCCGAAGTTAGAGTAGAGGCCCGACTTACCGCATCAGATCGTTGAACTGCCTAGGTTTGTGCCGAACTCGCCTTCGGCTCGCTCGGCACTGGTTTTAAAATTGTCCTTTCTCAGGGAGGTTTAATAAGGGCCTATTTTAATACTAATTATTTTAATTAATTTTAATCTAAGGTAGGCAAAAGTGGTACCTAGTTATAAAATCAGGCAGAGTGGAGTTCTGACTTACCCCATTCGATCTTTACTCGCTCTCTAGACTTTGGAAATTTGATGAAGGCACAAATTAGCTTACCCTATCAAACCATTAGTATACCTAGGTTAGGTTTTAAAACCATCACTTTTGGATGGAAGTTTAATAATAGGTATAGTCAGAGTGGTACCCATGAAAACCAGTGCCTAGGTAGAGTAAAAGTCTAACTCACCCCCATCAGACCTTCACTCGCTCTTTAGCCTTCAGGCACTCGACAAAGTCACAAATTAACCCACGCTATCAAACCCTAAGTCTACCTAGGTTTATTTTTAGCACTATTACTTCGGGTTTAAAGTTTAAAATCAAGCATAGGCAAAGTACAGGTCTTAATTACCGACAGTGCCCAAGTTAGAGTAGAGGTCGGACTTACCGCATCAGATCATTGAACTGCCTAGGTTTGTGCTTATGGTTTTAAAATTGTCATTTCGGCCTATTTTAATACCGAACGAGTCGAAGGTATACAAAACTGCTACTCTCAAAACCAGTGCCGAGCGAGCCGCAGGCGAGTTCGGCACAAACCTAGGCAGAGTAGAGGTCCGACCTACTCCATCGGACCTTTACACTGCCTAGGCTTGTAGAACCGACAGTGCCGAAGTTAGAGTAGAGGTCGGACTTACCGCATGATCATCGTGAACTGCCTAGGTTTGTGCTTGTGGTTTTAAAATTGTCATTTCGGCCTATTTTAATACCGAACGAGTCGAAGGTATGCAAAATTGGTGCTCTTAAAACCAGTGCCGAGCGAGCCGCAGGCGAGTTCGGCACAAACCTAGGCAGAGTAGGGGTCCGACCTACTCCATCGGACCTTTACACTGCCTAGGCTTGTAGAACCGACAGTGCCGAAGTTAGAGTAGAGGTCGGACTTACCGCATCAGATTGTTGAACTGCCTAGGTTTGTGCTTGTGGTTTTAAAATTGTCATTTCGGCCTATTTTAATACCGAACGAGTCGAAGGTATACAAAATTGGTGCCCTTAAAACCAGTGCCGAGCGAGCCGCAGGCGAGTTCGGCACAAACCTAGGCAGAGTAGAGGTCCGACCTACTACATCGGACCTTTACACTGCCTAGGCTTGTAGAACTGACAGTGCCGAAGTTAGAGTAGAGGTCGGACTTACCGCATCAGATTGTTGAACTGCCTAGGTTTGTGCTTGTGGTTTTAAAATTGTCATTTCGGCCTATTTTAATACCGAACGAGTCGAAGGTATGCAAAATTGGTGCTCTTAAAACCAGTGCCGAGCGAGCCGCAGGCGAGTTCGGCACAAACCTAGGCAGAGTAGAGGTCCGACCTACTACATCGGACCTTTACACTGCCTAGGCTTGTGCCACAGTGGTAAAGGTTAGAGTAGAGGTCGGACTTGCCGCATCAGATCATTGAACTGCCTAGCTTTGTGCTTGTGGTTTTAAAATTGTCATTTCGGCCTATTTTAATACCGAACGAGTCGAAGGTATACACAATTGCTACCCTTAAAACCATTGCCGAGCGAGCCGCAGGCGAGTTCGGCACAAACCTAGGCAGAGTAGAGGTCCGACCTACTCCATCGGACCTTTACACTGCCTAGGCTTGTAGAACCGACAGTGCCGTAAAGTTAGAGTAGAGGTCGGACTTGCCGCATCAGATCGTTGAACTGCCTAGGTTTGTGCTTGTGGTTTTAAAATTGTCATTTCGGCCTATTTTAATACCGAACGAGTCGAAGGTATGCAAAATTGGTGCTCTTAAAACCAGTGCCGAGCGAGCCGCAGGCGAGTTCGGCACAAACCTAGGCAGAGTAGGGGTCCGACCTACTCCATCGGACCTTTACACTGCCTAGGCTTGTAGAACCGACAGTGCCGAAGTTAGAGTAGAGTCGGACTTGCCGCATCAGATCATTGAACTGCCTAGTTTTGTGCTTGTGGTTTTAAAATTGTCATTTCGGCCTATTTTAATTAATAAACAATTGCTACCCTTAAAACCATTGCCGAGCGAGCCGCAGGCGAGTTCGGCACAAACCTAGGCAGAGTAGAGGTCCGACCTACTCCATCGGACCTTTACATTGCCTAGGCTTGTGCCACAGTGGTAAAGGTTGGAGTAGAGGTCGGACTTGCCGCATCAGATCGTTGAACTGCCTAGGTTTGTGCTTGTGGTTTTAAAATTGTCATTTCGGCCTATTTTAATACCGAACGAGTCGAAGGTATACAAAATTGCTACTCTTAAAACCAGTGCCGAGCGAGCCGCAGGCGAGTCCGGCACAAACCTAGGCAGAGTAGAGGTCCGACCTACTCCATCGGACCTTTACACTGCCTATGCTTGTAGAACCGACAGTGCCGAAGTTAGAGTAGAGGTCGGACTTACCGCATGAGATCGTTTAACTGCCTAGGTTTGTGCTTGTGGTTTTAAAATTGTCATTTCGCCTATTTTAATACCGAACGAGTCGAAGGTATGCAAAAGTGGTAGGTACCTTTAAAACCTAGGCAGAGTAGGGACTGACTTACCCCATCAGACCTTTACTCGCTTTCTCTAGACTTTGACAACGCGACGAAGGCACAAATTAACTTACCCTTTTAGATCCTTAGTCTGCCTAGGTTTTGTTTTAAAACCATCACTTTTGGGTGAAAGTTTAATAACAGGCATAGGCAGAGGTCTGACTTACCCTCGGATTTACCCCATTAGACCCTAGATCAGACCTTTACTCTGCATAGGTTTGTGCCGAGCGTACCGAAGTGAGAGTGGAGGTCCCACTTTCCCCATCAGAACTTTACTCTGCCTAGGTTTTAGGCGAACTCGCCTTGGTCTTGATCGGCACTGGTTTTAAGAAAAGTAATTTCTGGGGGAAGAGAGGTTATCACTTTTAGATGGAAGTTTAATAATAGGTATAGGCGGAGCAGATGACTTACTTACTAACTTACATCATCAGACCCAAATTGCCTAGGTTTGTGCTGAACTCGCCTTCGGCTCGCTCGGCACTGGTTTTAAAAATGTGAATTTGCGTGGAAGTTACGCCTTATTTTAATACCAAACGAGGCGCGAGGGTATGCAAGACCTTTAAAACCTAGGCAAAGTAGAGGCTGACTTACCCCATCAGACCTTTACTCTGCCTAGGTTCGTGCCAAGCGTGTCGACGCCACACCACACTCCCCAAAATATGATACCCAGCCATCACAGTACTAATTTTTGCCCTCTCCAAGGTGTATTCCTGGATCCGTCTCTGTGTCTTCTTACCCCAAAAGAATGAAGACCTGTTGACGTTCATTAAAGACGCAGAAAATGAGACTTGCATACGTGGATCTTCTGTATGGGGAGTGTAGAGAGGAACACTGTGCCATTAGGAGGGAAAATGCACCCAGAAATGCTACGATCTTGGGCAGGTCTTTTTCAAAAACACGTGAATAATCGCAATGTAAATCCTTCAAAGTTTCTTCCAATTGGCCTACATGCCTTTTTCGCCCCCTCTAACAGGTCAACTGTAAATGGGTGCGAATCCGCATCCAAATGTCAAGTTCCCCATCCGCTCCACCTATAAAGATGTCATAACGAAATAAATAGGTCGATGAACGAAGTCGGCTGAAAGGGGCGCAACACCCCCGCCACGTGAGTAGATTACAACAAAAATTGCTCTCGGGATTGGGATCGGCGTAGATAGCGGGGTCGGACGAGGAGCGATACGAAAAAGGCGATTTCATTTGAACGCAAACAAAAAGATAACGTTCCGGATTCGAGATAATTTTACAAAAAGACGGATCATTCAGTAGGCGATAATGTAATAGGATCCGGCTTTGTGGAACAAACCGCGAGCGAATCCAAATGTGTCAGCCTTTTTTTTTCGGAATGATTGATGAATAAGTAAATATGGGTAAGTGATGTAATAGCTGACAGGTACAAATATAATCGGCAAACACTTTATAAATACAAAACACCTACAAAACAAAACGTTACAAGGCCGTCGAGAATGTCATAATCCGCCACGAGATGGGAGGACCCCCTTCCAAATCGCTACCAAACACAAACAACCCCCTACCGAAATCCGAGGTATTATTGACCTGTTTGACTACTAACTCGGTTTACATTTTTCTAAAAATACGATCTTTCGCAACTTTTCTTACCTGAATTTGAACTTGGGGGCGCTTCGCAATCGCAAGGGGGTGCCGAAAATCAATTGCAGATGCACTTATTCATTTATATCGACACGTGAAACTAGGCGCGCACGTCACTCGCACGCGAACAACACATAAATAAACAAAAAAAGCGGGAGGTCCGTAGTTTTGGTATATTAAATTGGTTCCGAAGCGACAATTTCGTACGAGACGACGACGCCGCGAACAAAATGAAACGGGAATCGGCGTCGTCGACGTTTTTGCGCAAGTAGGTGTTTACGACTGAGATGGCAAATGTGTGACATGCGTAATTAATGTGTTCCGAACAAAAAAAATCCGATAATCGGTCCTCCTTTCAGCAATTTAAAACGGAAAATGGATGAGTAATTGAGAGCTCATTAAAAATTCATTTGTAGGCGACGCGTACGTAATTGACGTAGATACATTCTAATCTGGAATCTACAAAATCGAATTGTCCAGAATCATCAAGTTTGGCGTTTGCCCCAAAGAAATCACCTCCCTCGCGCGCTCTTTTACATCTCCTTCATGTCTCCCTTTTTTAATTAAATAAGTCGTCCGATTCCTTATTCAATTCCTCTTTCAAGGGGCTTTCTAGATATTTTTATTCTTGTACCGCATTCTTAAGGTCTATTGTTTCCCTCCAGTTTAAGCCTCACTCCCTTAGAAAGTCAATATCTTTATAAATATATAGGTAGCATCCCCCAGGATCTTGAAACAGCATTCCCGGGGGCGCACTTTCATTCCGCCAAGGAATCTGTGCCTTGCATGCTTCACAGTCACACAGAGGAGTTTCTTCTTCCTGCTGGCACCCCCTGCTAAATGAGTCGAGTTTGAGGAGTAGACTCATCAGTTAACAATAAACGATTTCGAGGACAAGCGAATCATCGGGGGGACTGGGGGGTATGGAATACTGGAATACACCCCCCAGGCAAGAGAGAGTGCCCTCCACAAAGTGGAACGCGATAATTCCATTTGTTTTTCTCCTATCACATTTGTCTTAATCTTGGAGAAAAGGTAATTGCATCTCCGTCTCCTGGCGGGTATTCCATACCCCCCAGACCTCCCGGTACTACGCTTTTGGGAGGGGAGAGGCGTATCCTCCTTTCCAAAAGAGTATTCCATACCTCGCAGGGTATCACTTCTTAAGTTCGATGGTATTTTTTGGAGAAGTATCGTTGTAAGTGCTAACAGTAAACGTTTTCGAAAAATAGCGAATCACCGGGGGGTCTGGGGGGTATGGAATACCCCCCAGCCAGGAGAATGTGCCATCCACAAAGTGGAAATCGATAATTCCATTTGTTTTTCTCCTATCACATTTGTCTTAACCTTGGAGAAAAGGTAATTGCATCTCCGTCTCCTGGGGGGTATTCCATATACCTTCCAAACCCCCCGGTACTACGTTTTTGGGAGGGGAGAAGCGTATCCTCTTTTCCAAAAGAGTATTCCATACCTCACAGGATATCACTTCTTAAGTTCGATGGTATTTTTTGGAAAAGTATCGTTGTAAGTGATAACAGTAAACGTTTTCGAGAAATAGCGAATCACCGGGGGGTATTCCATACCCCCCAGCCAGGAGAATGTGCCCTCCACAATGTGGAAATCGATAATTCCATTTGTTTTTCTCCTATCACATTTGTCTTCATCTTGGAGAAAAGGTAATTGCATGTCCGTCTCCTGGGGGGTATTCCATACACCCCAGACCCCCCCGGTACTACATTTTTGGGAGGGAAGAGGCGTATCCTCCTTTCCAAAAGAGTATTCCATTCCTCACAGGATATCACTTCTTAAGTTCGATGGTATTTTGTGGAAAAGTATCATTGTAAGTGCTAACAGTAAACGTTTTCGAGAAATAGCGAATCACCGGGGGGTCTGGGGGGTATGGAAAACCCCCCAGTCAGAAGAATGTGCCCTCCACAAAGTGGAAATCGATAATTCCATTTGTTTTTCTCCTATCACATTTGTCTTAACCTTGGAGAAAAGGTAATTGCATCTCCGTCTCCTGGGGGGTATTCCATACCCCCCAGACCCTCCGGTACTACGTTTTTGAGAGGAGAGAGGCGTATCCTCCTTTCCAAAGCGTATTCCATACCTCACAGGGTATCACTTCGTAAATTCGATGGTATTTTGTGGAAAAGTATCATTGTAAGTGCTAACAGTAAATGTTTTCGAGGAATAGCGAATCACCGGGGGGTCTGGGGGGTATGGAATACCCCCCAGCCAGGAGAATCTGCCCTCCACAAAGTGGAACTCGATAACTCCATTTGTTTTTCTCCTATCGCTTTTGTCTTAATCTTGGAGAAAAAATAATTGCATCTCCGTCTCCTGGGGGGTATTCCATACCCCCCAGACCCTCCGGTACTACGTTTTTGGGAGGAGAGAGGCGTATCCTCCTTTCCAAAAGAGTATTCCATACCTCACAGGATATCACTTCTTAAGTTCGATGGTATTTTTTGGAGAAGTATCGTTGTAAGTGCTAACAGTAAACGTTTTCGAAAAATAGCGAATCACCGGGGGGTCTGGGGGGTATGGAATACCCCCCAGCCAGGAGAATGTGCCCTCCACAAAGTGAAAATCGATCATTCCATTTGTTTTTCTCCTATCACATTTGTCTTAATCTTGGAGGAAAGGTAATTGCATTTCCGTCTCCTGGGGGGTTCTCCATACCCCCCAGACCCTCCGGTACTACGTTTTTTGGGAGGAGAGAGGCGTATCCTCCTTTCCAAAAGAGTATTCCATACCTCACAGGATATCACTTCTTAAGTTCGATGGTATTTTTTGGAAAAGTATCGTTGTAAGTGATAACAGTAAACGTTTTCGAGAAATAGCGAATCACCGGGGGGTATTCCATACCCGGAATACCCCCCAGCCAGGAGAATGTGCCCTCCACAAAGTGAAAATCGATCATTCCATTTGTTTTTCTCCTATCACATTTGTCTTAATCTTGGAGGAAAGGTAATTGCATTTCCGTCTCCTGGGGGGTTCTCCATACCCCCCAGACCCTCCGGTACTACGTTTTTTGGGAGGAGAGAGGCGTATCCTCCTTTCCAAAAGAGTATTCCATACCTCACAGGATATCACTTCTTAAGTTCGATGGTATTTTTTGGAAAAGTATCGTTGTAAGTGATAACAGTAAACGTTTTCGAGAAATAGCGAATCACCGGGGGGTATTCCATACCCCACAGCCAGGAGAATGTGCCCTCCACAATGTGGAAATCGATAATTCCATTTGTTTTTCTCCTATCACATTTGTCTTCATCTTGGAGAAAAGGTAATTGCATGTCCGTCTCCTGGGGGGTATTCCATACACCCCAGACCCCCCCGGTACTACATTTTTGGGAGGGAAGAGGCGTATCCTCCTTTCCAAAAGAGTATTCCATTCCTCACAGGATATCACTTCTTAAGTTCGATGGGATTTTGTGGAAAAGTATCGTTATAAGTGCTAACAGTAAACGTTTTCGAGGAATAGTGAATCACCGGGGGGTCTGGGGGGTATGGAAAACCCCCCAGTCAGAAGAATGTGCCCTCCACAAAGTGGAAATCGATAATTCCATTTGTTTTTCTCCTATCACATTTGTCTTAACCTTGGAGAAAAGGTAATTGCATCTCCGTCTCCTGGGGGGTATTCCATACCCCCCAGACCCCCCGGTACTACGTTTTTGAGAGGAGAGAGGCGTATCCTCCTTTCCAAAGCGTATTCCATACCTCACAGGGTATCACTTCGTAAATTCGATGGTGTTTTGTGGAAAAGTATCATTGTAAGTGCTAACAGTAAATGTTTTCGAGGAATAGCGAATCACCGGGGGGTCTGGGGGGTATGGAATACCCCCCAGCCAGGAGAATCTGCCCTCCACAAAGTGGAACTCGATAACTCCATTTGTTTTTCTCCTATCGCTTTTGTCTTAATCTTGGAGAAAAAATAATTGCATCTCCGTCTCCTGGGGGGTATTCCATACCCCCCAGACCCTCCGGTACTACGTTTTTGGGAGGAGAGAGGCGTATCCTCCTTTCCAAAAGAGTATTCCATACCTCACAGGATATCACTTCTTAAGTTCGATGGTATTTTTTGGAGAAGTATCGTTGTAAGTGCTAACAGTAAACGTTTTCGAAAAATAGCGAATCACCGGGGGGTCTGGGGGGTATGGAATACCCCCCAGCCAGGAGAATGTGCCCTCCACAAAGTGGAAATCGATCATTCCATTTGTTTTTCTCCTATCACATTTGTCTTAATCTTGGAGGAAAGGTAATTGCATTTCCGTCTCCTGGGGGGTTCTCCATACCCCCCAGACCCTCCGGTACTACGTTTTTTGGGAGGAGAGAGGCGTATCCTCCTTTCCAAAAGAGTATTCCATACCTCACAGGATATCACTTCTTAAGTTCGATGGTATTTTTTGGAGAAGTATCGTTGTAAGTGCTAACAGTAAACGTTTTCGAGAAATAGCGAATCACCGGGGGGTATTCCATACCCCACAGCCAGGAGAATGTGCCCTCCACAATGTGGAAATCGATAATTCCATTTGTTTTTCTCCTATCACATTTGTCTTCATCTTGGAGAAAAGGTAATTGCATGTCCGTCTCCTGGGGGGTATTCCATACACCCCAGACCCCCCCGGTACTACATTTTTGGGAGGGAAGAGGCGTATCCTCCTTTCCAAAAGAGTATTCCATTCCTCACAGGATATCACTTCTTAAGTTCGATGGGATTTTGTGGAAAAGTATCGTTATAAGTGCTAACAGTAAACGTTTTCGAGGAATAGTGAATCACCGGGGGGTCTGGGGGTATGGAATACCACCCAGCAAGGAGAATGTGCCCTCCACAAAGTATAACTCGATAATGCCATTTGTTTTTCTCATATCACATTTGTCTTAATCTTCGAGAAAAGGTAATTGCGTCTCCGTCTCCTGGGGGGTATTCCATACCCCCCAGACTCCCCGGTGCTGCTGGATACTCATATAAATATACTCCTTGATTGACCCCCCTCCCGCCCCCTTCACTGCTATGTTCGATAGTGTATCACCTAAAACTGTAAAGGGAGTAGTGAGGGAGACTATTTGTATACTTACATAAATATACTCCTGGAATACTATGGAGTATTTCATAATCCCCCCCCCCCCTGTGCTACGCTTACGTAGTATATTACCGAATATACTCCTCGTCCATGAAAAGTATTCCATCCCTCTAGATCCCCAGGTGCCGAAGGCATATTTCCGCAAACTGTAGTGAGAGTGGTATGAAGTACCCTCCAGACCCCCCGTTGCAACGTTCGAATGAACTATTTCCGAAAACTATAATGAGAGTGGCGAATTTGCGATGGTCTATCTTCGCGAGATTATTATTTACGCAAGCACCTGGGAAGAACACCTGGACCAGCGACGTCTGACTCTCGAACAAAAAACGACCCACAACCCGCAAGCAATTGTGTAGCCCTCTAGACCTTAGCGAATGACTGGGGGACTGCGTGCCCCGCTGCGCGGGACTATAAAACCCGCTGTACGATCTGCTGGAAAAGAAGAGCGTCTTCACCTGGACGGCCGCTGCAGCCAGAGCTGTACAAGGACTAAAAACCTTTAAGATATCTAGTTCACGGCGATTGAAATACTATACAGTGACCCATGTTTCGCAATACCGAATACCGAAATCATCTTAATTTAGGATTTCCCTAGGTCAAAGCTAGTATTGGGGGTATGTAATGGTTTGAAATGGCTGGATTTGGTTTAAGTTCCGCCCAGGTTGAAGAGCTTCAGCTTTCTTGATGGCAAGGTGGGTCTTTGTTGATAATGGATCAATTTCCTCAGAGATAAAAGATTTTTATGCGGTATTTATAGTATTTTATGGCGTGCAAATATAATTTTAGCAGGCGGTTTGCGGAGTTACATCTGGCAGCAGGCGACTTCCGCTTGAGGGATTTTTTCGACATTCCGACAGATATGGTTAATTTTCTCAAAAAAATGAAATGCATGCTCAGGGTGTTCTTTACGGAAACCTTTGAAATAACAACCCCCCCAACTTCTCATTTTTAGAGATACAGGAAAAATTGTCAAACAAAAAAGGTTCAGACTATCGTCAACTTCAAAGACCGGACATTATTTTGTTAGGTAAATATAGCGGAATTCACAGAAAAATCATTTTTTTGGATTCTAGATTGCAGTTACGCCCCCTAGCGACCATTGCCGAAACTTAAAAATATTTTCCAGGTTTTTCTCGTGGCCGTTTTAGTAATAAATTTTTTTACCGCAAGCCTCTACGATGGACAGGTTCCCAAGATACAGTACCTCGCATTCTAATTTGGCCACCCTGTACATTCTATCTCTCTTCCGCTTTCGAGTTATGCTTCAGCTTGTTTATATTCGCCTATGTCTCTGCTATCGCGAAATATTAGTGAGACTCCTCAGTCGTGCAAGGTGGGTCACATACTTTCAGGCACAAATTCATCCATGATCGTTTACTATTATTATAGTCGTAGCGGCCTGCTCTACATCTGATTCTGTTTTAGCTCCTATTTTTGCTTGTTTCAACCCCAAAAGTAGTGCTAGGGTATGTCAACTCTCCCTTTCCCCTCTCGGAATGAAGCCGAATCAAAAGTTACCATAAAAGAGCATAGAATTCAAAAAGATTCAGAATAATTAAATGTACTCAAAAACGTTTTTGAATTTATTGTTTAATTAACATTGTAACAAAATCTATAACTCGCTTCTTTCTTCCTGCCAATCTTCCCTGATCATTTGAGCCCCTTTCTCACCAATCACAATAATTGGGGCGTTCGTATGAACTCCAACTATAGTAGGCATAATGGACCCGTCTACGACCCTCAAGCCTTCAACCCCATGCACGCGCAATCTCGAATCGACAACCGCCTGCGGATCCCTTGCCGGTCCCATCTTGCACGTCCCGCTCAAGTGGTAAGCGGTTCGAACAAAATTCCTGATCACGCAATCCCAATACGCGTCGCTATCGAAATCGCGGCCATCACAATCCGGCAGATCGAACCGGATGAACTTCGGCTTGTAACGCGCAAGCGCCTCGGTCCGCATCATCTTCTGCACGAACCTCACCCCCTCAATAAGACTGTCGACGTCTTTCGACGCGCTGAGGTAGTTCGTCAAGATTAAGGGCGCGTCGAACGGGTCGCCCGATCTTAGCCGAACCCTTCCTCTCGACTGCGGGTACGAGAGTATCGGCAACAGGCAGGTAATCGGGCTGTCCTCGTTCACTTTCGCTAAGGTATCGGCGAGACTCTTCGGCAGATCGAATACGTCGGTCAGATGCATGTTGGGGAAGGTCAGAAACTTCTGCGGGATTAAAAAGTGGCAAACCTCCAGCGTGTGTTGGGCGGAGTCGTTTTTCGGATTTACAAATCCAAAGAAATCAGTGCCGAGGGAGGTCAGCGGACCTTTGGCGTGCACCAGGTACTCGTAGACGTGATCGAAGTTGATCTCCTTGAAGGGGGTGGGTAAGGCGGACTTGTCGAGTTTGTAGTACAACCCTGGCAAGGCTACGTGGTCTTGTAGGTTGTCGCCGACGGGGAGGGCTTTTCGGACTGTTATGCCAACGCCTTGTAGATGCGCCTTTGGGCCGATGCCTGAATGCATCAGTATTTGGGGCGAGCTCACCGCGCCCGCCGAGAGGATTACCTCTTTCTTTGAGTGCACTGTCAGGAGACGGCTTCCCGAGCGCACCTCTACGCCTCGGACGTGGAGCGATGGGCCAATTAGTAGCTTTGACACCTGGCTGTTGAGGGTGACGAAGAGATTGGGTCTGCCTTTGACTTGCAGATACGCCTTGGCAACGTTTTGCCTCCTGCCGTTCGATACAGTGAAGATACCGGACGATCGCCCTAAACAGTCGCCGTCGTTATTGTCGCGGGTGTACCCCAGTTCATCGTAGGCCTCCATCAAACTAGGAATTATGGGTTCGTTCGACTCCCTTCTGGTTACACTCAGTTGGCCGTTCCCCCCTTGGAAGTTTTCAAGCCTGTCGTACAACGGCATGAGGGATTCAGGGCCCCACCCTCCATTTCCAGATGTGGCCCAGTTGTTGTAGTCAGCGTGGCTTGCGCGAGTGTAAACCATGTAGTTAATCAGGCTTGTACCCCCCAAACCCTTTCCACGAGGGCAGCTGGTCTGTTTCCTGAAGCGAACGTGCTCCGATGGTTCACACCTGTACTTCCAATCAATGTCAGTATTCTGCAGTTGGAGTAACAATCCCGGCACCTGCAAATGGTACTAGAAAACGAGCAACGTCAGCGCATATAGTTACCTCCGATTCCGCTGATGGGTATGCACCAGCTTCAATCAGCAAGACCTTCCAATTTGGATTCTCTGATAGCCTACTTGCAACCACGGATCCTGCAGAACCGGCACCTACTACAATGAAATCGAAGCTATCGCCGTCTCGAAGATGGGGTCCATAATCTGGTGGATAGTTGTCAAGGGCTCCAAGTGAACACTTACTCGCCGCTATCGTATTCACTAACGTTAGAAAGAGGGAAGCAATTGTCCCATTGGAAGACCCACAGCAGGAATTTGGCGACAAGTATTCCATTAAGCTACACCCGATACTTCAATTATCACTTCCGTGGCGGTGACGGCGACTGTCCCATTAATCGCATTCTTTGTTATGTTGATTTATCTAAACCTTGATAACCTTTAGAGTATTGCCCCTTGCCCTCTCAGATAACTACAAACTTCGGACACATATCTCTTGCTGGTCAAGTTTCAGTTTGTTTTATCAAATGCTGAAGGGCGGCTAATTTTCCTGAAATTTTAAAAAGCAGGGAAAAAATTAGAATTTGATGACGGCTTTAAATGGTAAGATAACTTCATAAGAATTTCGAACGAAGCGTCCAGATAATTTCAGGAAAATATCAAGGATACCTATTCTGAGAAATACATGATTTAGAAGCTCTTCAGGAGGATTTAGAGAAAAGTTTAATCAAAGTCCATGGCAACATGAAAATAATTGCCAGAACATACCAAACCCTTCATGATCATTTCCAGAAATTGTTAGCAAAGCCTTGAAAAAGGTTATGGCTGTTTATGAACAAAATTTGATGAGATTGCTTTTTGTACCACAACAGAATTCCTGCAAAGGTCTTTTTAATTTTTAAGCAGATATTTTGAATTTCTCTACGAATTCCTTTAGCATTTGTAGTTATGCATAATCTTTTTGAGACTTTCCTGAAATTAGCTTGGAACTTTCCCGTAAAATCGAAATGAAACCCCTGAAAGTTCCTCGAAATCCTCCAAACATTCTCTTCAAAGTTTTCCTCCCTTGATATCTTTAAATAGTAACAATTTTACAAATTTGCCAATATAGGAAATTTTATACGTGTACCGCTTCATAGTGAAAGAGAACAGAACTAATATGCGAGAAAATAAAGCGCGCTAAGATAAAAAGCGAGTGTGCAAATGATAAAACTCGAAACGCAACAGATTTCCGGTTCTAAAAACCGTACTAACGGAGCATGAGGGGTGGCGCGGGGTTTCTGCTATACCTTTGCATATATAAGAATCGTTTTCAATCAAAGGTTCAAACGGAAGTAGGGAATGCAATCCCGCACCAAATTCTCAATCCCGGTATTTGCGGGATTGTTAGATGTTAATCCCGCGGGATCCCGCAAAACTTCCGTATTAAAATAAATAGCTAATTATCACAATGTTTAACAAAAAAAGTACCTTCAGCCTACCTTAGAACTCAAAAAAACATCACCTGTAAAGCACAAAAAGGTGAAATTCTAAAGTGCCTCAAAAATCATTGTACATTTTTAACGAAAAAAGTTTAACAATTATTTAAAAAATAATTTCTCCGTTATGCGTTTCATTAACAAAGTAAACAGTCGTCCCCTTGGTCGATAAATTTCTCAGTCCCGCAAGTCCCGCAGGACCCCGCTCCATTTATGTGCGGGATTAATCCCGCAAAAATGCTGCGGAATCCCGGTATTTCGGGATCCCGTGATCCCGGTATTGCATTCCATATACACTGCTTTTTTTGAGCCCCGAAAAGAAATTGTCTCAGATCGACCCGAAAAGTGTTTCCCGAGAAATTTTGGTGTAGTCGATTTTTGGTAAAAACGGAAGGTTATACACTGCCTTTTTTTGAGCCCCGAAAAAAAATTGTCTCAGATCGACCCGGAAAAAACTTTCTTATAGAATGTGGCCTGTAGAATCCATAATTTCAAACAGTTCCAAGATTGGGCTACTAGTTCAAAAGTTACAGCCCTTTGAATTTTTTTTCGAAATTGGTTTCTAGTCTATAACTTTTGATTGAGAAGTCTGATCGAAAAAGTACGAATTGTTTGGATTCTACGCACCCAAATTAATAAGAAAAGTGTTTTCCCGAGAAATTTTGGTGTAGTCGATTTTTGGTAAAAAAGGAAGGTTATACACTGCCTTTTTTGAGCCACGAAGAAAAAATTGTCTCAGATCGACCCGGAAAAAAAATTTTCTTATAGAATGTGGCCTGTAGAATCCATAATTTCACACAGTTCCAGGATTGGGCTACTAGTTCAAAAGTTACAGCCCTTTGAAATTTCTTTCGAAATTGGTTTCTAGTCTATAACTTTTGATTGAGAAGTCTAATCGAAAAAGTACGAATTTTTTTGGATTCTACGCACCAAAATTAATAAGAAAAAGTGTTTTCCCGAGAAATTTTGGTGCAGTCGATTTTTGGTAAAAAAAGAAGGTTATACAATGCTTTTTTTTTGAGCCCCGAAAAAAAATTTGTCTCAGATGGACCCGGAAAAAAATTTTCTTATAGAATGTGGCCTGTAGAATCCATAATTTCAAACAGTTCCAAGATTGGGCTACTAGTTCAAAAGTTACAGGCCCTTTGAATTTTCTTTCGAAATTGGTTT